CATTTAACCCAGGTGTCCCACTTCCTGGGAGAGTCCTCTCATCACTATAAAAGTTCTGTTTCTTCCTCCAGCTGCATTTAAAAAGAAAACACCTGTGATTGCTTTTTGTCAGGGGCCTGATCCTGTTGGAGTGGCTTAAATTTGCTCTGAGTATGCCCCTTATGAGACTTCCATGATGCTCTGCCTGGTTTCTGGACTCCAGCTTTTATGCCACAGTTAAGTGCTGATCTGTTTAGGCCAGAGAGTTCGAAGCATGCACAAAATTGCGATTCCAGGTGCCTACAAAACTTGCAGCTCACAATGAAAGGCCTAAGTGAGTTTTGGCACCTCCAGGTCTAGATAGTTTGAGCAAGGGCTATTTGGATCACCTATCTTTGGGCAAAAAAAGACTTAAGCACCTAAGGGCCCATTCTGTTACAAGGGCAGCACAGGAAAGTGCTCCTCATTATTCATGACAAATCTTTATATAATTCATTGCTAAATTATTAACAGCACCTCCAATGTTAGTGATAAATTCAGGCCATCACAAGTAATAGGATGAAGATGACTGAAAGACAATGACTTGTGTACAATGTAAGCAGTTGCCTTTAGACAATGCATGAACTCTGGTTTAAAGAGGCCAGGATTAGTGAAGAGCTTTTGCATTATTGGCCCATTTATAAAAGCATTATTCCTAATTGTACTGTAGTACTGCGGAGCTTTGACCTGAGCACATATTGGTTTTGTAACCTGATCCCCGTATAAATCATAGTCAGCGAGAGTGGAACAATTAGTGCTTTAATCTTCTGGAACTACACAGTATCTTTAAATCTGTATTTTCCTGATCATTACTGGTATTATAAGAGTCAAGTAATTTATATTCCACACAAAAAATGTAATTAAATTGCAAGATAATATGGCACTGAAATGAATGAGGGGAAAAAATGGGTCCCTTCTTTGTGGGGATAACAAGCTTTGTGGCGTGTCATTAATGGGATTGAAATGTAACTTGTTTAACTTTATGAAATGGAAAAGTGTTATTTTTTTTCTAATGTCATACTGAATGTAGAATAGGTTATAATAAGAGTTTGCTGCTGTGTACTTTCAACTCAGTCTGAAGAAAATCATATAACATTTGCTAGCCAATTTAAGTGCTTGGAAAAGACTAAGGCCTTGATGTTGCAAAGAGCCCGATGCCTTTAGTTGGTCACCTAAGGGAATCCACTTATGACTCTATTACCCTGTAAATTAGCAGAGTGTTTCAGTCAGGTATATTTATCATGAAGAGAACTGAAGATAATTAATACACTGCATTGAATGCAAATTGCACCCACAGCACTTATCTCATTTTCAATTAGCACAAATGTTACAGCACTGCAGGCTTGTTATGGTTTTACCATGGGCTGGGTAATTAATTTCTGTGAGCTACATATCAGACACCTGATAATGCCGTTTATTAATAAATGTCACCCCAGGTATCTGTTAGGAGAGGTAAATAAATTAAATGTTCAGTTGTCTGCCCTGTGCAAATCTATTCTTACACCTCATTGCATCTTTTCACTTGTTTGTTTATCAATGGGAATGACTACAGAGATTACAATGGCAAACAAAGGAATATGACAAACAATAATCTGTGACTAAAAGAGGCATTCTTTCTAGAGACAACTAAACCTTTCATTACCTGAGTGCTGTAATAGTGGAGCTACTTACTATCTCCTAACCTTTTGGAAGGAAGAACAATTATCTGGACTGTCGAAGTAATATTCTCCAGAGGTGGAAATCCAGGCTCAGAGATTTGTGCCCAATTAAAAAAAAAAAACCCCAACAACCCACAAAGGCATGCAAAAAACAAAACACCTTTACTTAATATGTATTTCCAAAACATTGAGTTTTTTTCTTTTTGAAGCATTTTGCTCCACAGATATCAAAGCTTTTTACCTCCAACTATAGTCTATTTTTAAAATGAAAGTTGTTGAGTTTTGTGCAGCTCTGATATGTCTGGAAATCCTTTAATGACAGAATGCACCTATATCCATGAAATTCTTCTTTAAAAATAAAACACTATGGATAGATCGCTGATGAAAGGTGTTGGGATTTTGCTTATGGTGCCTTTACCTGTGGTTGCTGCTGTTTCATGAATTGTCAGTGTGCCCGTACTTTCTCGCCTGCCACGTCTTCGATATTATTATTAATAATAATATTAATAATATATTTAATATATTTAATATTAATAATAATATTTAATAATATTAATAATATTATTAATATTCATAAAAGCTTGAACAAGAATAGTCCTCTCTCTGAAGTGAGCATGTATTGAACAGAAGGGAACAACCCTCTGGAGTCCTGCTGGCTGTGATCATGGACTACAAATCTGAGAGGCACCTGAAAGCATGAAGATGAAGTGATGAGCAACCCTGCAGAGTTGAGCTACTGTGGGTTTGGACTGCAAATCCCAGAAACCTTGGGGGCCGCAGGAAGAGGGAGTGAACACACAGCCTATGCTGGGGTGCTGGGGGACTCTGATTTAACTTGAACCAGGAGGGGGTCTGGGACAGAAGTATCATATACCAGTTTGAATGTAGTATCTGACTTAATTGATTTTGGTCAACCAGGTTTATCTTAAAACAGTTTCAGCCATTTTGAAACTGGTTTATGTGCACTGAGCTTCTGTTCTCTTACAGGTTTAAACCAGTTTCTGAAGACTTAAACCTGTTAATGTGTAACTTCTGTCCCTAGCTGAGAAGAAACATTGGTAGCAGGTAGTTCCTCTACAAGACTTGTACTGCTTTAACAATAGTGGCATAGTTCACGTGGGATGATCTGTTTAGTGCGATACAATTATACGTGTATAAAGTACATTCCTGAGCAAGGTAATTACCTTAATAATTTATAAAGTATAACTTTGTCATACCAATATAACTGTGTACACACTAGGGGTTGTGCCAATATACTGATATTATTTTAAGAATACTCCTTTCCTGCTTGACAGTCATATAATACAAACTCTTTGTGTAGGCTTGTACAAATTAGGGCTTTACCTCTCCTAAATGTAAAAATATAGTAGTTTATTACAGTTACTAAATTACAAGGAAGCAAACAAACTCCACAGCTGTCAGACCCACCTCATTTTAATCGGGATATTTAATAATGGTCATAGCCTGGCATTACTAAGGACCCTATCCTGGGGAGGGGGGAGCTTTTCTAACAGGTGACTTTTGCCATATTATTTTAATTAGTGTGAATTTCAGTGAACATTGCTCTTCAGCAGAGTACTTAATATTGCTGTTCATTATATTACATGTTTTTTCTATGGTAGCTGGTTTCCATATGCTTCCTGGAAGTGTGGCCTACAGCCTTACCAACTTCTGCTGTGATCCTGTCAGATCCCACAAGCTTAGTGTGCTCTGCTTGGCTCAGTATTTGGATATAGGATTTACATTAAGTGCTTCTTAAAAAAAAAAAAAAAAATCAGTGCTTGAAGGATCAATTGAAAAAAATGCCTTAGTTGGATTAGGGATCACATTCCAGACAAGAATCTACAATATTAAAGGCCAAATGGCTTGTCATCATCCTTTTTAAAGCTCATTTAATACACTGAATATAATGTATAAAAAAAAAAATCACAATTTAAATGATAACGTAATATCTATGCTGAAAAGCTTGGGTGATACAGATTGTATGCAGATTCTTTATTTAAATAGACATAATGTACATAGGGACAATGAAGAGCCCGAATAGACCATTACATCTGTGCAGATTTCCGTGTGAGTTAGTCAGGTCCAGGCTAAGTGTGGGTTGTGCCTTGACTATAGCCATAATAACTGTATTCTGCCCAGCCATCTTGTGCTTAGCACTCAGACTTTAGCAAGCTAGTAGAGGGTCTTGCTGGACTAGTATTATCTCTACTCTAGATGGCACTACTGCTTGCCTAGGTTTGCAGAATGAAACTTCTGCGGCACTGTATGCAGCTGGTATGTAGGCAGAGTGAGGCAATGCAAGGCAAGCAACAAATGGACCCCTTTTTTCTTGTCATACATACTGTCCTGTGGCAGAGAGAGAGTCTCAAAATAAATAAATTCCCTAATTGGTTAGGGAACGGAGGCTTTTTAAACGGGGAGGATGATGGGAAGCTTGAGGAGGACAGGGTGAAGGTGGGGTGGGTAGGCACTCCTGGAAGGGGTCCTCAAGGATTAATTGTGTGTGAGACTTTGGCATGTGATTGTAGGCTGAGCTGGAGATTGAACATAGCAAGACAATGAAAATAATACAAATTATATTACTATGTGGTGTAACATGCCCAGCATTGGAGCAGCAAGGTCTTCTTCCTGGTTCACCACCTTGTTACCCCTCTGGCCTCTCAGGCCCCATCTCCCATTGTTATCTGGCCCGCTATGCCTTGATGTTATAATTTTATAGGAAAGCTGCCCCTAGGAGTGGATTTTGGAAGTAGATCCTTGTCTGGGCTGAGGTCCCCTCTGACTTTGGTCCACTTTAATCTAGCTGGGATTTTCTGCTCAGTGTCCACTGCACTAGAAACCCAGACTTCCAGACCCCACTTGCCCCTTAGGCTCTATGCCCCTAAGCACCCTTCAGGGCTCTGGGCTTGTACCCCCTCCCCCTGCTGTCAGATGCTTAGTCCTGCAGCACACAGCAGTCCTCTTTCTTAAGTGGTTGGGTTTCTGCCTCATACTACCCATTGGGCTTAAGGCCCTGAAAGTGCCCTGTGCTGGGTACCCCTGCAGCACCCAGTAGTCTCCAATCCGCCAGTAAAAATATAGATCACAGCATGAGTGCCATTCCCAAAACAAAAAGTTCTCCAGTCAGGGTTAATCTCATAGTGTGGCAGTCCCAACACAAAGGCTTGAGGTGCTAGGTTTCTTCCACTCTTCTGTGACACAAAGTCGTCTCTCTGTAGGCAGCTTGCACCAGCTCCTCCCTGGAGCTCTGCCTCTTGCAGCTCCTACAGCCAGACTGCCCCTTCTGTGCTCGAGCCTGGCTTTGAGTTCCTAATTTGTCACCTGACCCTCTACTTCTGCCCCAGGCCTGTAAATCACCACCTGCACCTGTGGTGGGTAGCTATTTTACTTAAGGCCCCCTTTGCTATTACTAGTCTGTTCAAGGGACTAGGGCTGGTTAGCAGGCCCTGGGCTCCATCTTTGTCTCCATCTCCATTATAGGCCAGGGGCCCAGAGTAGTTGTCTAATCTGCTATTCTATATAGTTTCTTTTGCCATGCTAGTCATTACAGTATTGAAGCCCCTTTCAATAATGCATTAAGTGATATGACTATTGTTTTCTCTCCAGTGGGAGAAATGTGTTCTGTAGGGTCTTTATGTTTAGTAAGTTTTTTAGGTGTTTGATTGTTCTAAAAAAAGTGTGCAATGTGTTTTATCTAGAGAAGGTCAAAGAAATGCACTTATGTTTGGAGTGGAAGGTACTGAGGCTTGTGTTAGGCCCTAATTTTGGGGAGAATACTTTTGACAGTCTTAGACTGGCCTCTGAAAAAAGTCCCCAGCACAGATGAGCTTTACTCCAATGGTGGGGAATTCTCTGGTGCTAGAGGAGCATAGTTGTTGACCACATACTTCACCTGGGAGTTTGAAGCAATATTTTAGACCTATCCTGGGCCCAGTCCATAAGCTTCTTGAAGCTAGCAATGAAGATCTTGAACTTGATTAAAAATGCTATGGACACCTAGTATAGGGAGTGGAGGTCAGGTTTAGTGCACTTTCTCACAAAGAAGATGCATAGTGCAGCATTTTCTATTAGAAGGAGTTTCCTAAGTCTGGAAGGCTCCATGCTTAAATGTATCACATTACTGTAGTCCACCTGAGAAATGACAAAAAGCATGACCTAAGGCAAGGTCATCTTCACCCGGATAGGATGGAACTTTCAAAACCCTAAGAGATGTGATTTCAGATCCATGTCCTGTTATTAATTAGACCAGATTGTACCATGTGTAAAGTTATGCGAGACTGTAGCTGTCTTGGCTAGTTTCTCCATGAGCTTGCTTAGGAACAAGAGGACTGGAAATGGCAGTAGTTGGGGTGAACTGATATGTTCTTGGTGGGTTTCTTTAGGGGTAGGCTGTTACATATTTGTAGAGGAAAGGTAGTCCCTGACTGAACTGTTAGCTATTTTGGTGAAGGTATGGTGTCTCTGAGCACTCTCTTTCCTGATTTAATTCTCATGGATGATTTGGATACTGGAGTTGTGATGGAGAGAAGTGTGAGGAAGACACTGCTACAGTTCAAGCCACAACAACTAGGTTTTCAAAGGTAAAAGATTCTGTGTTTCAGCCATGGATCAGAAATCCTGATCAGCAAACCTACTGGTGAATACTAGGGCTGTGCAAAGCTTCAGTTGCTGATTCGATTTGCTGGAGATTCAGCCTGATTCAGTGGCCAAATCTCTGAATCTGAATCAAATCAGGAGACCTTTTAATTTCTCCACATCAAATCAGAATCCTCTGAATTGATTCGGAGATTTGGACATAGACACAGCTTTAAATGTTTTTCGTACATACCTCAAGGTAGCAGGCAGCTCATGAATGCAGCAGTTGTGGGGCGGATGGAGCATCCCACAGGAGCATGGGGCAGCTCCCCAGTGTGCTTGGCTCGGCAGCAGAACCAGAAGTGAACCAGAAGCACTTCTGGGCCACTTCTGAGTTCACCGGGGAGCATGTGGCCCCCCTCTCCCCCCGCCCCGCACTCCCCGGCAGACCCAGAAGTGGACCAGAAGTAGTTCTGGTCACTTCTGGGTTCACCTCTGAGCACATGTGGAGGTGGGGGGGCACTCCTGTGGGACGCTCCATCTGCCCCAGCATGGCAGCATTCAGGAGCTGCACCTGGTACCTCAAAGTATGTAGAAAAAACATTTAAAGCGGTGTCTATGGCCGAATCGCTCATTCTCTGAATCAGCATCAAACCTTTAGATTTGGATTCAGCCGAGTCAAATCGGGGACAGTGATCCGAATCAACGAATTGAATCTCTGTCCCTGACTTGGGCCAAATCTGAATCCGAATTGAATAGAGCCCGTTTCGCACATCCCTAATGAATACTTTCATTCCTATTTAATGCAATTTATATATAACCCTCATTCAGAAGGATTTTAATGGCAGTTTCAAGATAAATATTAGGGTTCTTGTTCCTTTTGTGGGAAAACATTATGAAGGGGACAAAAGTATAAGGTCTTCTCTTGATTTGCAATTGATGTTTCTTCATGATGCTGAGTTACATTACATATGTGAGTTAAAACCATGTCTTTGCTTGTTAGTAGAATCTTATAAATAGGTTCTTGGTAGTGATGCTTTCCTTTACTTTTTTGAAGACGAGCTTTTTTAAAGACAGTACATTTTAGACTTTTGTTGAAATTTTTCCTTATCATCCCACCTGCTCCCACTCAGGATTTGATCTCTTTACTGAAACAGTTGTGTATGAACATGTCTGGCAACACCTGTCATCTTCACACTTCCTTGGCTCACCATTCATTGTGGTATGAAGAATGGAGATCACATTAGTTTCATATTTCAAGCAAGTTCTTTCCAGTGATGAATGGAAATCAGAGGTATGACTATTTTAGATCTATCAGCTTCCCTGTTTGCCCCAAGTTCACATAGTGTGAGTGGTCAAGAGTGCTTCTTATAATTTATACTCAACTAGGAGGTTGCGTGTTGCCATCTATCCATATGGCTATGTTTATATGACAAATTTACTGGCAGTGGTACACTACCCTCTGCATGCTGTACTGCTCTGTATGGTCTGCCTTTTATTCCCGAAGCATTGTAGCTGCCACTAGGAGGCATGTGGGAGCAGTTATTAGCATACGAATGGGGTAATTGGCGGTTTTAATTAACTGAGCCAAAGTACAGCATGGATGTGGCTACACTGCTACTAGCAATAGGCAGCTTACATGGAGCAATGCAGTGTAATTGAGAGCACTGGTGCCAGACAGCAAGTTTACCATGTAGACAAAGCCTAAGGATTATAAAATATATAAGCATGACCACTTCTTTCCTTGTTTCCATGGCTTTATCAGAGCCTTTGTATTCAGATATTCATGTATTTAGTAAACATTTTGAATATCATCTCCGAATATGGATTTATATTTACCTGACTGTCAAGTTGATCACTGGGTTCTAAGCAGCTGATTATGCCTATAGCCAATCATGTGCCATGATCTGTGAATAATTGTAGGCATTGTTGTTTCAAATCTCAGTTGGATTTACAACAGTGAAATGGTTAAAAATAAAGACTAAATGAGTTGCTTGAATATACAGTGTTTCTTTCTTCTAGAATCTTGTTTTAATGTACATTTGTATAGTGACTATTACATTTCCAGCATTAGAGAAATATTGATAGGTTACAGACTTATTTTCACAAGGGATAGATTTTAGAAATTTGATATTTTTCGTGTGCTGTTTTAAATGGAAAGAGACTTGGTCAGGATTTATGGTAAAAGAAAAATGACTAGCTTACTAAATAGCTATTTTCAAGCTTTAAGAAAATATGTAGGTGTTCCCAAAATTGCCTTAGGTGGTGTGTTGATCTTCATTTAAACAAACAAAAAAATCTATGGAAATCCAGTGCCCCCCATCACCAGCAATCCAGGACTCAGTAACCAGCCCCACAACTAACCAAGCAACTCATAAAGACAAACTAATTTTACTTACTAGAGAATACAGCTGGGAAAATTTTGTATCCCAAACTTTTTTCCCCATTTATTATGTAGTTTTGAGTCAAATGAAACATTAAGGTGAATTGTTCCAGTTGAAGAACCTGGAAAAATTCCAAAAAAGCTACATGTTTTGCTATGACATCTTCAAAATGAAACATTTTGATGGTTCAGTTTAAACAAGGTTTAATTTCTAACTTTACTTTACTTTTATAACCAAATGATATTATAACACCTAGCATAATATTTTTGCTTGCACAAAATATTTCATTCAACCCGAAATATTTTTTGAGTCATTGGATGTGTCTACACGTGACGCTACATTATTGTAGCAATGCACTATGAAGATGTAGCATTCGCAGGCACAAGCCATGACACCGCAGCTATGTTGTCGTAGCAACATGCTCCCACAGTATAGCGTGTTGCTACGGCGACATAGCAGCTAAAAATAACCATGCGCCGCTGGCCTGGCACAATATGGGTTGGTACTGCGCTGTCATTTAGGTGCAGTAACAGCAGAGCCATAGTGGCATGTGTAGAAGTGCCCACTGAAAAATTTTTGAAAATGTTGTTTTATATCAATGCTAAATTATAATTTTTATTTGGCCAGAAAACTAAAAAAACCACTCTTTTGCATGACTACAGTCAGGAATAGATTCCAGTGCAAACTTCTTAGTGCCTAGGAACAAAATAAAAAAACCCAACTGAATATTGGAGCCATGCAAGCAAATCAGTGGGGTTGTGAGTACTTCACATGCCTTTGCATCAGGCCCTTTGAGCGTAATCTTGCTATCATTGAAACCAATGGCAAAAAATAAATTGCCTTAAACAAAGTTGGATCTAACCCCTTAGTAAGTAAGCCTGCAAAACAAATTGTCTTTGTATCCAGGGACTTTTTTTAGCCTTCCTGCTCATGAATCTATGGCATAAGAAAATTACCTTGACATTGTAATACAAATATTGCTTTGCTATCATAACATTGTTACGGTCCTCGCATTTCTTCTCAGCCCTGTAGATACCATGAATGCTGTGTGCCTCGTTTGTTATATAATGATTTTTTTTTTTTTGGTAATCCTTGCTCTACAAGGAAGCAAAGGTTGGTGTGAGAGAAAGGAGGGGGGATTTTAATCAGCAAGTGATCTGAGAATAAAGAAAGGTTACCTGTTTGTTTGTTAACAAGTTGAAGTAAATATGAGTTAAAAAAATCTGAGACACCAGTCAAAGGCAATCAAATATGTATTTAATTAAAGCAAACATAAAAATTAAAGTTACATGTTGAATCAATAAACAGCACTTTTTTCTACATGCATTTTGAACAAGACAGATCAGAATCTTGCATGATGAAGACATAATGTGTCATAATAATTAGGAACACAGACAAAAGAACAGCTAATCAACATGCAAATTTATGCAGTTCTGGCGATTCAGATGAGGCAGATTTCTACCTCTTTTTTGCTTGATTCATCTTCATTGCTAATCATCTGAAGGCTGCCAAATGTTCACTGACACTAATGTATTATAGGTCAAGAGAGGCAGGTCTTCACCTATTACCCCCACAAACAATATGCTTTCCTTCCCTGTTTCCTCTTCAGGATTTTCAGCAATTACTGCCAGATGCAATCAGACTCCTTGAATAGGAGCAACTGGGGCTTGTTTGTGGCTTGGATTCATTAGAATCAGGAGGATGAAGAAAGGAATAAATTACTTAATTGCACAAAAAAGTTGCAGCCAAAGTGATGGTGAGAGAAGCTGATTGTGTAGATGCGTATTAGGCCACTCTTGGAATGGAGGATCTTAGAATAGCTGGTAGTTTGGCCTTGCAGATTCAGACAGATTTGGGTGTCCTCCAAAACAGATGGCTCCACATACCATCTATTCTTCTCTTTGTCAGGTTTTACCATTTATTTGATCTTGTTCATCTATGATGCTGGTTGTATTAGATGTAACACAAATATGCATTCAGATCATATCCATTTAGTCTTGCATCCCAACTTTTATTCTTTTTGCCTTGTTTGATGAGATGATCAAGTTGAACAAAGCCCTTGTTGTCCTATTCTTGAGCGACATCCGTACATAAAACACCAAAAACGTGATTACTGAACCAGGCTTGCACAGTGAAAATAATAGTCCGATGCTACAGGTTTTTAAGATTTATTTCTTTATATTTTACCAACTAAGCCTCAACTTGCACAAATGATTAACTAATCGGACAAAACAAAGAGTTAATTTTTCTTTGATTCCCATAGAAGCAAACGTTTGCATATGCCCAGGCAAAACTGTCAGCCTCCCATCCTTATGCTGAGACCCCTGTTCAGATATTCACTTCAGGTTCCAGGCCATGTGTTATGCTTGTGGGTGGTCTTAAGATCTTAAAGAAAGGCTTTGCCCTGTGAAGTCATGCAGCACTGTATGTAATTAGGCAAGTATTATTATTATTCTTATTTTTTGCAAACCTCTCTCTCTGTTTTGGGGGGGAAAGATCAATGCTTTATGCTAGAAAAATCTTTCAGGTAGTGGTTGCAACTAGCATTTTATAAATTACATTTTTGGCCAGGGATCCAATTCACCTACAGTCCAGTCAGAACACAAGTAAAATATTGCTCTACTTTACAATTCATTTATACAGATCAGAATGGTCATGCATACTTTTGATTTTTACATCTGAAGTGCGTGTGTGTGTGTGTGTGTGTGAATTCAGGGCAGAGCTTTTGCAACCAACACTGGACTTTTGGTTTGGGAAGGGGTTGTTCCTTGTTTCATGGATTATAGTGAGGATCTTCATTCAGAGATGGAATAGCCTGTGTGTAATATGATGATGATGATGTAGCCAGCCCTGGACTAGAATCAGTTTGAAAGGTCCATATTCATTTGGAACCTGACAGAAGTCAGTGAATGCCACTTTACTTTGATATCAAAGTAAAACAGTGTATGACCCTGCCACCATGGAGCTCAATTAATTCAAAGTCTCAGTGTACCAGATGCCTTACCACTGTAAAGCAAAATGGTACACCTGAGAGAATGACAGGACATCACGTTCCAAACGGAGATGCCTCTGTCACAAAGCATCCAAACTGCAGAATACTGAATGAAGTGTTCCCTCAGCATTCCCTGGGATGAGGAAGCATGTAAAATACCCAGGATTTACAGTGCTTTGAGGCTAAAAATAATCTGCACTCAATCAGGAGAATGGTGACCATTTCAGAAAGCATGGGGTGCTCCTCCTTCAGAGGATACATGTTGATGAATGTTTGTGTATATGGCATGCTTTTGAAATGAAGACTTTGTTGCTAGGTCCTAAGGGGGACAGTTGTTAATATAGCATTTTTTGTGGGCCTAGGGGAAGAGGAGTTGCAGGTTTGTCCAACGATTGTTGCTGGCTGTTGGAGGCTGCTCAAGATTCTCTCTCTAGTTCCAAGGGCAATTTCCAAGGCACTGAGCACCCTCATCCTTTATTATCAAAGGGACTGTAAGGCCAGTTCTTTTAAATAATGTAAGGATGATGACTGTCTACCAGGCTCCTTTGAGGATGTTCCAAGTCCAGGGTAGCTAGGCACAGTCCCAATATACAGGAGCT